AATAAAAGCCATAATCACTCTTCTACTGAGCCAAAATTTACAGTTTTGGTTTATGTCTCGCATTTGGCATGTATCATTCTGTTGTCGAGTTGATTGGAACTGTTTATATGCCATCTCCCACAGAATACGTTAATAGGAGAGCCTCTGGTGTAATATATGTATCTTCGCTGGCCTCCAGAGAGAGTAAATATTTTCGTGTCATATCATTAACATAGACCATACCCTGAACTCTGATTTCCCTGAACTCCAACACAAAACGACTTTCTCTATAGGCAGTTGCTATTTTTATGTTTTGCCGGGGGAGCATGGAGCGTCTAAGCGTCCCCTGTCGTTGGGTCTTGTCTCCTTTCACGTCTGTTCAATTTAGGGTCAACCAGAGTTTTACTGCTTGAACTCATATTGATTCTGCAGGAACCTGACCAAAGGCTTCCGTAGAACGCAGTTAATACCGTTCCCCAAAACTAAGCTCGGTAACGTTCCTGTGCTAAATGATTAAGAGTTCATTTTTGAATACTTGTTTTTAACCTTATTAATAAATAAATTGCAGTCTGTTGTCATAAACTATCATTTGGTGCAATTAGTTAGTGTCAAACAATTTTTAAGTAGCACGATGAAAAAAGAAAACACCATATTTCATAGGGATTCATGTAAAAAAGTTTCTGGAAAGAAATACATCTTGAGAAATTTGAAGCATTTGTTCCCCGGTACAAATTTAAACCAAGCGCAGAAGATATGTGGACGACACATTAACGATTTTTGATTCTAAGGAAGACGCCGATGACCTGCTCCATTTTATTAATATCTTATATCCTAAAATTAAATTCCCAATGGAAACAGAGCAGCTTAACAAGCTATTCTTCTTAGACGTCCTCATTTTAAGCTAGGACGAGGGTTCAATAGGGCTTTCAATTTTCCACAAAAATACGTGGAAATGGCAGTACCTACATTTCATGAGTTTTGTGCCAATTCAGTGGAAACGAAAGCTGGTACATACTCTCCTTCAATGAGCAAGGGACATTTGCTCTAATGAGACCCTGCCTGCGGAGGAGCTTTTCCGCATCAAAACAGCCTTAATTAACTGTGGCTATCCTATACGCTTTATTCAAAAGTACAGCAATTCTATAAAGCCATAATTTACGAAACAGTCAGTTCCAAAAAGCCCGTCATTATATCTTTACCCTTAAAGGGTGATGACTTTTCGAATACAATCAAGCGACGGTTGCACTGTTCCATAGAAAGGACCTACAACGCAGCTAAACTTGTCTTTTTAAGCTCTACTAAAAGCCCTCCAGTAAAACGGGCAAAAGATGCCTTACCTTTGTGCGCCACCTCAAACTCTGTGTATGAAATCATTTGCACTTGCGGATGCAAATACATTGGGCGTATGCAAAGGCAGCTGGCAGCTAGGGTCGCTGAGCACTTGCCTAACTAGCTTTACAAGCAAAAAGATCGAGTACTACTGTCCTCAATTACTAAGTCTATGCTAGATAACGGTCATTCTGTCTACGTTAAAACAGTTTTTCGAACCCTGCGGTACTTGGAAGCGGCCGATATACGGCGGGAGAAACCCGGCCTACGCAAGAAGCTTGCCCATGTGGTCAACCTCTAATTGCCCTGGTAATTGGGCACTTAGGTTTA